ATAAAATAAACTATTAATAAACTAAAATTTTTCATCACAGGCGTTAGTCCCCAGGAGATAAAAAAGTTATTCCACAGTGATCACATGGATATCATTGATATTTTCACGACGCAGCCATGAAAATCAATGATATCCATTGATCCTCGTGGAATAACTAATACATATCATATGATGATCACCTGATCAATTAAAATAATATTATATTAATTATATTAGCATCATTACATAATAAAAAATTAATAAACATCTTTTTTTTTATTATAAAAAAAAAGCTGTTTTATCTGGTGTGATACTTCTGAAAAGCAAGATTTTCTTTTACTCAATATCGCCGCTTTATTCCTATTAAGAAATCTGAAATTATTTCAACAGTTTTTGAAAATCAATTGGAAATGCTTATTTGAATTTATGAAGGTGAACGTGCTCATACTAAAGATAACAATATGCTTGGAGAATTCAAATTGTCTGTAATTCATCCAGCACTAATGGTGTATCACAAATCGAAGTTACCTTTGATATTAATGCAAACGATATCTTAAACGCATGTATTAGATATTCAACATTTATTATCTTTATTGTTGCCATTTTCATAATAGTCTTTTAACTTGAATTAATTGTAGGTATCCCCTGCTGAAATATAACTGGAATATCAAATAATATGACCATCATGTATGACAAATGTCGATTGTCAAAGGAAGAAATCGAATATATAGGCATGTAAACATATTTTCCAATTTTGTGAAGTTTTTATATAAAAGTTTTTAACTAACAAAACTATAAAATAATAGTTGCCAAAGCTGAGAAATATCGTGATAACAATGAGAAAATTGCAGGCATGAAATTGTTTGAAAAGTTATGCATATAACTTACGTAATATACTTCACGTAAAGCGTTTGTTTAATATTTATTATACATAAAAATATACCGAATTAAAATCTTCTGTGATCAATAGAGCAAACAAGTTGCTAGTAATCTTGACCTAGCAAGCAAAATGAAAACTTGAAGATGCAATTCAACAATTAATTACATGACTTGAAAATAACCAAGAAGCAATGAGAGGATATGATTATACAAAGGTCACTCAAAAAGATAGCTGATTCAATAATAAAATTTGTGGTACAGATGCCAATTTTAGTCCTGGTGGCTTTCCAGTGTAAGTGAAGAGATAGTCAGATTGTAAAATGAGAAAGTAGTATACCGTATTAGCAAATTTAAAATATTTTTTTTTAAATATTTTTGATGAATAAGCAACTTTATTTATTTATGAGTCTTTTCTTATTAAAGAATATTAAATTTCAATTTGTATAATAGCGTAAATATCATAAACTTTTTTTGATATTTCACATTTGCTGTAAATTATTTATAAAAATATCAAAAGTTAATAAAATTAATATGTAAAATTCATAAAAGTTTTTCATTGATCTAATGATGTATACTTTTTATTGAATTTACAGTATAAGAATTAATTTAACTTAAGTATTATCAGGATTTGTTTAAAAAATTTAAACTATTTTAAAAGATAACAAATTCATAGCATTAACTAAAAGTTAATTATATAACTTAGATAGTCAAATGACTATATAAACTATCGTGTTGAATTAAAGCTGAGAAATATACTGAAAGATGATGATTTATCATTTATAAAAAAATCAAATAAAGGAATAACATCTATTATTTTTAAGAATTTAAAATTTTCACATTATATTCATTAATTATAGAAATCTAGAATCAGATTTGAGTCTTAGAATCCTTACCAGATGAATTTTCTGAAAGCCACTTTCCTGAATATACATTTGACTGAAGCTATTTTCTGAATTTCAATATTCTGATATTTCCGATTTTCTGAAATTTTAATATTCTAAATCCTACTATCCTGAAATTCCTAATATTCTGAATCCTTGATTTCACAAATCCTAATTTCTAAAAGTAATAATAAAAAAATTATTTACTAGAGTTTGATTTTTCTAGCAAACTTTCTATATCTGTTCTAAAGCTCCAAACGGTTCAGACTAATCTGAAGATTTTTCAGATCAGTTCAGTTTGGATCAGTTTCAGATTGCATAAAAATCAATCTGAAAATTTTCAGTTCAGTTCAGATTTTTTTCAGATTATAATTCTAATCTGAACTGAAAAAAATCTGAACTGAACTAATAATTTCAGATTAATCTGAAAGTTCAGTTCAATTATATGCAAAATTCTTGAAAGATCAGAAAATTTGCGAATTCTCTAAGAGGATCGCAAAAATTTAGCAAAACTCGCAATTTTTTGCAGTTTCTCTTTGAATTTCGCAAAAAAATTGTGAAAACCTTGGAGAATCGCAATTTTTGCGATTTCTCTTAATATTTCACAAAAAATATTGCGAAATTCACAAAAAATTGCGATTTCTCTTCGAATTTCACAAAAAAATGCAAAAATCTTAAAGAATCACAAATTTTTGTGATTACTCATTGAATTTCGCAAATTTTTGTGAACCTCGAAGAGAAATTCACGATTTTTTGTGATTCTCCTAGAGTTTCACATATAAATTGCAAATTCCTTATATTATTAAACTGTAATTTCAGATTAATTTAAAAATTCTAATTCAGTTCAGATTTTTACCAGTCTGCAATTCAGTTCAGATTCAGATTGGCATTTTTAAGATTAATAATCTGAATTGAATTGAACTAAAATTTTAGGTTCAGATACGGATTGGTATCTAATCCAGACTGAACTGAATCGTTCAGAACTTTAATCTGTTCTATAATTATTATAATAAATTTTTTTTATATATACTATAATAATCTAACATATATAATTAAAATATCAATTAATCTTAAATTTAAGTTTTAAGTTAATATTAATTATATTTTCTAAATCATTTTAAAGAAGTTATTATAAATTAATATTAATTTTATAAATTAATAAAGCATATTATTATATTAATTTTATAAATTAATAAAGCATATTATTATATTAATTTTATAAATAAATAATTTTTTATTGTAATTAATTAATATTAAGGTTTAATATTATTAGTAAATATATTTTGCAAATTTTTATCATCTTAACAGATTTATTTATTCAATATATTATTCTAATACTTAATGATTCAGCTATATACAGTATAATTTATTATTATTTTATATATATTTATAAAAAAAAATGAAGAATGTAATAATAAAAATGTTATTTAAAGATTAAAATAATATATTATTTTTATATTAATTAAATATAATATAAATAAAATATCACATTATTTTTTATATAGATGATAGTTAATAAAAAAAGTGAATCTAAATCTTGATAAAATTTTTTTTATTAGTTTATTTAACTGACCAAAATCATATATTTAAAATTAGATTTGAATTAAAATTAACAAATATTTAGATTTCTCTTTTTTTACTAATATCTATTATATAATTCTTTTAAATTAAATGATTAAAAAAGAGGTTATTAATTTTAACAAAAGAAAAATTTTTAGATAAATATAACCTGTTAAAAATATAAAATTTGAAATTATATAATAAATATATAAGAAATTACTTGAATAATAATATATTAATTATTTAGGGTAAATTTATTCCTCATCCTAGATGAAACTAATTATTTCTCACCCTATCATGTGATCATAGAATTATTATAAAATATTATAAATAATAGTTATAATATATAAGTAGTAAAATTTGTACAATAAGTTCAGTTGGTTAGAATATTTAATTAATTAATTTTATATTAAGAGACACAGATTCAATTCCTGTATTGAGCCTTTAAATTTTTTTGTATTATTTATATCATTTATGTTAATTGTACCTTTCTTGTTAATTATGTTATTTGTATGTGTTTTTCATGTTATTTGTGTTAGTTATATTATTTATAATAGTATCATTTATGCCATTCATGTTAATTGTATTATTAGTGATAATTATATCATTTATAATGTAATTTTTGTGTTATATATATTAGTTGTAATAGTGTTTTAACTGTATCAATCATAATGGAGTTATTTATTTATGTTATCATATTATATTATTCTCATTTGTATTCATATTATTTCATTGTATACTAACTGTATAATAGTATTTATGTAGTTTTTTGTGATGTTTATTAAATGATAATATTTATTTTATGAATATATGATAATAAAGTTAAAGAATCAAAAATTGCTTTATTATTATGGTATCAAACGACTATTTTAAAGAACAAGTACTCCAATAATATCTACTTTCTTCACATAAACCACACTTATGCCTTTCATCAGTTACTTCATTTTACCTTTTGATTCAGTAGATGACTTCAAATGTTTTTCTGCTAGTTTTCCTTTTGATTAATGTTTTAGTGAATCTAAAACTTGGTTGAATTTAATTAGTACTCCATTTAGCATATGAATAATTTAGCTGTTATTTAATGCTATTCGATTTGCTAAGGCTTTTTATTGCTTAATTGATTTTATCTGAATGTATTGGGCTTTTTTTCTTTTGTTATACTCCTTTATAATTTGAATTAATTCATCATCATTATCACTAATTGCAAACTGAATTGCTTTTTTGCTTCACCTATTAAAATGTCATATTTCAGTTATTTTCAAAATATTTGTTTGAAGTATTTTTCTGAAAGATCATTTATAGTATACTTTCTAGTAAATTATAAAATACTATTATGATTAGAACTGATATTAGTTATAACCTCTTTGTTAGAATAGCCTTCACTTTAACTAATATATTCATCTTTATACCAACGGTAAGGTATTAACAACAGATAAAAATGCGCTTTAGATAATTCAATAAATATTTAAAAAAGTGCTGATATATAACATTATGAGTGATAAGCATAAACAAGTGCATAAATACTCTCCAATGCTAAGGAGAATCATGTATTAGTAAGTTTTTGGATGATTATATCTAGAGATTTTCCATATTTTGATGATATCATTAATGTTAACTATTGCCATTAATGATTGCAAGTCCATTTCTCTATTTTTATCTACTTCAGTAAAAGTTTCAGCAGAATCTTCTCTATCAAAGATTGGCTTAAATAAATTATCATCTGATGTTGAAGCTTCTGTAATTGATACTTGATGTGCAAAATAGTAAACAAGATTAGCATATCTATTTATAATATACATCATGAATGGGTTGAATAAGATACTTCTTCATAATAATATTAATGTCACTATAAAACGCTTGAATGATAAGTGGCTGTATAAATTGTAATGTTAAAGTTTTCAAATAGAATAACGCATATTAATAGATTCAAATTCAAGCTGAATTTTCAATAGCTTTCTGAACTTGCAAGAGGAAGAAACTTAATTGAATAAATTTTTTAATTAATGCATTTTCTGATTTAACACGCTGTGTGAATTGTATTTCTGTTGTAAAATGATATGATGTAAAGCATTTTATCTATGTATACTTTTAATTCAATAGCATTGTGATTATATAATTACTTCTCGCCTCATATTTTTTAGCTATTCCTTCAGTTCATTTTTCAAATACACTTTCACAATAAGAGCATTAAATGTTCTTAAAATCTTTAAGGAATTCTTAATAAAGTGATGATTCTAGGCATAAATGAAGGTTTTTTGGGAAATTTTGATAAAGGTGATACAAGTATTATATATGATGAATTTTGGAAAATACTTTAGAAATAGTGGCAATTATTGCAGGATTACTATCTGTAATAAATATTAGTAGAGTGATATCACATGCTTCAAGACAATATTGAAGGAGCCATTTACCTCTTGTCTTGCATAAATGCTTATTTAAGTCTTATTATAATTATCAATTAATATGAAGAGACTCAATGGATAATTATATTTGTTCACTTTCACAGTGTTATCATGAACAATTATATCATAAAATTTTACCTATCTTTCACACTGTTCTGGAGATATCCAAAAGACACCAATTAGACAATTACTTATTTCGTCTAATAATGGCTTTACAAACCATGTAAGATCATTAGATTGTAGATCAAGAAGCTTTAATAATAATGAAGCTGCGTCACCCAAGCTTATTCCTCTTTCCTGTTTAATTTTTAGATTGCATTTTCAAGATCTTGAGTAAGAAATATGCGATCAGGATACTTGAGTTGTAAAAGATTTTTAATTATTAGTGCATTACATCTACCATGTATAACATAATATTCAATTTGCTCCATTATGTTTTGGGTAAATGCTCTGTAAATAAGAGCAAATTGCAAAGTTTTGGTAGAAATTTCGTGATTATGCTCAGGGTGAAATTTCATTATGGTTACTATTGGTAAATTTATAGGTCATGTTATATTTATTTGCCATATACACCCTTGCTTCTTGCTTCCCTTTATCCTCATTTTATCTAATGTTGGCCTTGAAAGTTTTTGAGTATATCTTCCTCCTAAATCACACTTAAGTACTTTCATTCTACAGATACCATCCAAGAACTTTTCACTTTTATGCTTAAAAAAAAAAAAAAAAAAAGGTATCTACATAAAAATTCCGCAACTCGTGTTACGTCACTTACTCCACAACGACCTGATTGTATTATTATGCAAGTTCCTTTCCCTAAGCTCATCTTCCCGATTAATGTAGCGCAGGTCTGTGCGACTATCATATTTGCATCTGCTTAGCAATTTCAATTACCAATTACGTTTATTTTTTAATAAAGCTATGTTTAATAATGAATGGAAATTGTACTAGAATGTAACTCAATCCATATAAACAAGATTATGACTTTGGAAGTTTATGTAGAAAATAACGTTAGCTGATATGAATCTATATAACGATCACATAAATGATGACAATGGTACATAAGAATTTTGATTGGAATTGAGTTATTTTTACAGATGAGAGTACATTTTAATTATATACATCAAAAAAAGGGTTATGAAGAAATATTTTTTTTTATTTTTTCCTAAATAGCTGCAAGTAATGCCCGAGACCGATCGCATGTTATTTTTTTATTGGCACATACACAGCAACTGTCAAGAAATGAATCACCACCTCCTGCCAATACATATTCAACCATTGTTAACATGCTGGTATGTGCATGTTTTTATTATAAGCATTGAAGATTCCACTTGTTATAAATTACTTCCCTATTCCTGTGAGTTAATGGTTGCACACACTAAACGAAAATTGACATTCAAGAACAGCAAGTTCACCGGGTTGTAATACTAGTTCCTTTATCGCCAAAAGGATGAAATACTACTTTCTTTTAAGATACAATTTTTGAGGATTTCTAATATTTATACGATCAGATAACCAAAATTCTATATAATCGGGATTCAAGAAAATCACGTGTGTTTCGGTTAGAAGGAGAGAACTTAAATTAAAATACGTAATCATGAGGCGTCGACGTGAACGATGGACTGGTAGGTTTATATTTTAAAGAAAAAATTATTTCGTTACCCTTGATGGTATAAAATATTGTTGTTATGTGTCCCGCTTTTTCTTATTTTAATATGATATTTAAATATCGTTGCTTGTTTGCTCACACATTTACACATAATTTTTATTTTTTAGCATCTCAGATACAGGATGGAACGGTCGCGAATGGTTCAGGTGAGATAAAGAAGTAACGCTTCCACCTGCCATGCGAATATCCTGAATTCAATGAAATCGAATTTGGGGAGATTGAGATACATATGGATCATAACTTGTATTAATAAATTTATGTGGTTTATACAAACATCAATATTGAGATCAATGCATTGTAAATTGCTATAATTAATGTATTAACCATTTCACCAAGAATACACCTTATTTGGAAGAAACTTTGCCTGACCCGGATGATCAGGCGCGCTAGACTTTTTTTTTGTTTTACGTTACGCGACTTTAATCTGTAACAAATAAATAATAATCGACGTTACAGTACAACTTTTTCTAGAAAACGAAAAGCTTTGCGGAGTAAACAATTATAGGAAAAATAAAAAAAAAATTAACTAATACATTTTTTATAAAGCAACAAGCGTTCCAATAGAACGAGTTTTAATGGCGGAACCGATCTGCTATCAATCAAATTGTGAACTTAAAGCTAATACAATTTGCCTGTATGTGCTTGAAATTCTGATGGAAAAAGATGAAAAAAAAAAGTAATTAGGATTACTGCTCACAAAAAAAAAAATAATAAACTTTAAAACTTTATATGACATTTATTTTATTTTCGGCATTAATATTATCCTTGAAAATTCGAGTCGAATCAATGATCGGGTCGAGTCGAATTCGGGTTCTGTAATTATTAACGGGTTCGAGTTCGAATATGCCTTAAACCCGACACGACCTGACCCTTACGGAGCACTACCCAAACGTATTAATATAACGGATTTAATCATCAAACAATTTGGAGCGTAATTAATAGCTACTAATGAAATTCGAAATTTTCAATGAATATTTTCGAAGACATCTTTAAATGAAATCAAAAAAATAATTGAAATAATTTTAAATGAGAAAAAATATGTGAAGTGATTTTATTTTAAAAGAAAAAAATGACAATCTAACTTGCGTGCCTTAAATAGAAAAAATATACGTAAAATCGGCAAGAGTTTTTCAGGGCTAATCTTACAATAAGGAAAGAATTATGCTCAAACTTCATGATAACGTTTGGTTAATTATCTTTTGTGTGCTTTATATTTAATTAATAATTTTAATAATAATGAATAAAAAATAACAATTTTCTATGTTACTTTTATTTAGTTTTAAAAATTTGTCACTCTATGTAATTATAAATTTTAATAAATTTACGTAGATGTGATTTTTTTTTTTTTGTATATTTTATTATTATTATTATCGGAAATAAAAAATTACGCGATTAAACAGAATGATCAATGAAATAAATTTTGTTGAATTATTATTCCCACTTGTTCATTAGCACCTGATTATGCTTGTCGGTGTATGAGATTGATGTCATGATGCTTACGTTAAGTTCTGATTAATTACTGTTACAACTGATGGATTGAAAAAGAAGTCGTTGGTAATATCTGTCCCAATGACACGTTGTAATATCTTTTGTCCATCTGGATGTATTAGAATCCATTTATGGATATCTAATACTAACCCTTCCGCTATAACAAGGTTAGCTCCTGTCATAACCCTTTGATTAAATTCCTATATTAAAATACATTAAATTCATTAATAATTTATAAAAAAAAAATTCCCATTAAATATTATACATACGCTCCATGATATGGCGGGTAAATGTTCATAAAATTTATGAGGAACACAAGCACGGATACGTTCCGATAAATCATCGGTTAGTCTTACGGGTCATAAGGATTACATATTTTTAAAATTATAATAAAATTCGCTTGTTGTTATCACAATTCCAAATAAAACTTCAAAACGCGAAAATTTTTTTTGTTTTAAAAAATCATAAATATGATTGATAAAAATTTAAAAACGACATATAGTTATCTTTCTTTATAATACTTACTCAACCATGCTAAATAGGTCCAAATAAAGGTTGGAACCGGTTAACAAATATTTTAACCGGATATTTACCGGGTTAAAGAATTTTTGGCCGATTCCAACCAATATATGCTTTGTCCGCCCCATATTTAATCAATCCCAGGAATATTTGCGTCCTATACAAATCAAATAAATAAGAATCCAAAATCTAAATGCATGACGAAGAAACTCGATATAATTCAAAATAAAATTTACCATACAGCTACAAGTACAATAACCCCCAATAAAAACATATATGCTTTAAATGACAACGACCCAGTAGCTGCTGATTCGACATTAGCCAACTCCAGATCGCCAATAAACTTAATGCAATTTGAAATGCCGTAACCGTGTAGATTATTATTCCCCAACTGATATAAAAAAATAAGGGTGAGTTAAAAACTATTATTATAAAGTAGAAAAGAAATGAATCAACAATTTTTAACTTACATTGCATGAGGACTAGCTGCATGCACGACATTGCTCTAATGTAGCTATTTTGGCGTCACCAAAGAGATTCAAATTTCGATATTGCGACATATATCTATTCAGGAAATTAAACGGAATAAATTTATTCGCTTTATTTTTTTTTTACCAAAAAAAAAAATTTCTTATAAACGAGTCTTTCTTTATGTCTCAAATATCTAACAATTCCATAAGAAACCTGGAATTTTTAGCAAGGAGGGAAAGAATGATCCAAGTAATTGATTATCAATCTTTTAAGTGGCTTCCATCGTGATCTTTAATAAGTGAATTATCATCACTAATGAGAAGATGATCATAAAAGGCTGGTTAATAATAACAAATATAAATAATTCCGAACCTTCCAATATAGATCGTGCATCCTAATCTCCCATATAGTATATTTTGATTTTGTTAATTATGAAAAGTTTTCCATTGATAGGAAGACCCAAGTGACAAAAAAATATTGCTCATAATCTATTCGTAGATGTTTTGAGCTTTTATACGAGCGGGAAGAACCTATTTCAATAGTATCATTGTCAAAAGTATGTACGGCTGACTTTCTTTATCACTTCAAGGATATCTAATGAACCATTTGCTTTCAAAGGCACATCTTCGTCAGGAACAAAGCATGTCATTTCTGTGTTAATAGTAGGAATTATAGATGAAGTGCTTATTAATTCTGTCGCACTTCTCTTTTTTCCGTTATTGGACGATGACGATGCAGGTGACGAAGTGTTCCAAAAGCTATTATTAGCTTTGGAAACATCGGTCTACATAAAAGAAATTGAATGAGAAAATAATTTATAAAAGAATATCAGACAAAAAAAATTAAGTAAGATGGATGGCTGGATTTAAAAAATACAGGCAAAGCCTCATCTGACTATAATCATATGCATATTATACTTACTTTTTTGCTTTTCAAGAGTTTCTGGGTAATATTGCGAACTTCTTGAGACATTTTTTCATCGTCAAGAATTGAACTTAAGCTTTTATAAGAGGCATAATGAGCATCCATTTTATCAACGTTTTCATAGTTATCAACTAATAAAGTTATATAACCATGAAGTGAACAAAATCAAAATATATTATATATGGGATTTTTCTGCAGATTCTGAGTGGGGACGAATAGTACAAGGATCCGACATATTTAAAAATCTTTTTTAATAAAAGTATTATGAAAATTTAAAAAGATCAAATTAAAAAAAATTTGTAAAAATCTCGTGTGTTTATTGTTTCACAAATCATATGATTCTTAAATTTTAATAGGACAATTTACTTATTAAATTTATTAATGAAGTCACCACATATTTTATTATTTGTTATTATAAATCATTATCAAGCAACTGTTGCGTGTAATATTGGATTTTTTTTCGTTTGGAAATTTCAACTATAATATAGCACTAGCTGACTTTCATATACAAAATGTAATTATTTTTTAAAACAAAAATAAATATTAATTATTTAAAATTTTTAGTTCAGGTCATTATTATATTATATGTTTAGATTCAAGTATTTGTAATTTGTCACAAAAATTATGATATAAATGTAATAATATACAAAAATTTATTTATTCTATCTAATACATATTTTATTAATAAGAGTAATATAAATATATTTATGAACAAATACAACATATTAATAAAAATTCAAAAATTATCAAATCAACAAATACAAATAATCAAGAATTACATATTTATTATAAAATATTA